TGAGAAATGAGGTCAGCTCCGCATGAGGAAATAAAATTACTAGATAGGTAAGATATAAAAATCAGTATAATTGCATTTTTGGTTGAAAACTTACTGCTGAGGGGGGAAAATATGTGCACATATATGTGTATGTATATATAGTTTACATGAATTACAAATACATCCTTACAATAGAATGCTGTGTGTATTTTAGGGACACTTAAAAATATACACATTATATATAGCTAGTGGCCCGGTGCACAAAATTAGTACACTGAGGGGGGAATCAGGTCTAACCCAGCAGTCAGACATTCCTTTCCCAGCCCAGGCTTTTGCAGTCTGAGACCCATTGCTCCTTTCTGCCCACCTGCTTGTTGCTCCTTACTGCTCAAGTCACTACTGTAACTTAGTGCTGCTGTAGAGGTGGGAGAGGCTCCTGCCACTTTCACTGCGCTTGCCAGCTGTGAGCCTGGTTTCTGGCTGTGTGGTGCTCCCCCTTTCAGAGCTCACTGACCACCAGGAGGCAGCTCCTGCATTGAACATCTGCCCCCTGGTGGTCAGTATGCATCATAGCAACTGGTAGTTCTGTCGATTTGCATATTAGGGTTTTATAATATAGGATAAAACAATTGTTCATGGAGGGAGGAAAGTGAGAGTTGGGTGTGGAGAGCAAAGAAAAAAAATTGAAAACAGAAAAGAGTCCTTACAAACATAACAAAGGATTTGTAACAAAACAATGTACCTAAAATGTTTTTAAAATTCACAACATGAAAAATTATAGAGTAAAATTGTGGGCAAAAAATTATAATATTTTGGGAAATGAAGTTTCTAGAAAAATTAGAATACAGGAGACATTCATTCATATAGGCTCAGTAGCATATAAATATTAAATATACCTTCTTCACTAGGTAAGCTATGCAAATTTTAACAATCTATATATATAAAACCCTAATATGTAAATAGACCAAACTGTGGAACAACCAAACAACCAGTCACTAAAATTTGTGTTGACCATCAGGGGGCACGCATGGAACAGGTGTTGGCAGCAGGTGGCAGAGCGTGGAACATGGTGGGCATCAGCCACTATGCGATAGTGAAGCAGGTGAGTGGGGGCACCTGACCAAGGCAGGGCACCGGTTGCTGTCATCAGGGTGAGCCTCTGGTGGTTACTGAAAATTCTTCACTCCCACAGGCCACAGACCATCCCAGCACTTGTATCTGCTGCTGGTGCCAGCTCCATTCACACCTGCTGCCGGCACTGGAGTGGTGGCTGCCAGTCCTGACTGCCCCTCAGGGCTTCTCTACCTCCCCCTGCATCTGAGGGGCAATTGAGGAAGCAGCCACCACTTGCACCCACTGATGGCACCAGCCCCAATTGCTCCACACTGTCAGTGGGTGCAAGCTAGATGGTGCCATCAGTGTGTGGGAGCGGGGCTGCCAGCAGATATGGGGACAGGGGCATGCCAGGAGGGCCCAGGCAGTGGCATGGAGAATGGGCCAAAATCTGTCCCCGTGCCCACTGTAGCACACAGTTCCTTTCAAGTTTCATGAATTAGTGCACTGGGTCCTAGTATAGAATAAGAAAGAAACATTAGAAATTGTGTTCAGAGCTTATCTGCAGAGAGGCTTTCACAAGCCTCTGTTTAAAATTTGTGCTAATTTTCATGATTTCCTTCAGTCAGTATTTAGTGTATCACCCTATCCATATTTAAGTCTTAATCCCACTCCAGAAACATGTGTACCCAAACTTAGAACTTCTCTTGAATGGAAAAAACAAACAAACAAACAAAAAAACCTTAATCTAGGCTGACCAAATTTAACTTGAGAAAAATTAATGCTCACCTACCCACACAGAAAATGCTCACCTACCCACACAGAAAATAATAACTGTATTTATCCATTTAAGTTTTTATTAATAAAATGAGGGAAAGGAAATACTGAGATGGACTTAATATACATTTTTCACAGAAGCCTCTTGAACAAAGTGAAGTTCTTCATTTGCCATTAAACTTTCCCTTTTGATTGAGGTCGTGATGGTTCTTTCATATGTAGGATAAGGATCACATTTTTCCACATACCTGAGGTAAGTTTGGTATTAGTAAATTGATCATGAATACACTCTAAAATAAAGAATTACAGAATTTGGGTTGAATTTTGGAAAGATTGCTAAAAGGAATATGCTCATCATTGAGATTTTAAAATTTAAACCATGTGCTTTTGATGTTTTATAGTTTCCTTCCTTTGACCCCTCCCTTCCTCCCTCCATTCCTCCCTCCCTCCTTCCCTTCCTCCCTCCCTCCCTCCCTCTCTCCCTCCTTCCCTCCCTCTCTGGGTTGAAAGCCAGAGACAATGCTATACGAATAGATAAATCCCAAATCACGGATTGATCTTATGAGAACATTTAGTTTTCACTTAGCATAATGTTCTTCAGGTCCGTCCATGTTGTCATAAGAGTAATATTTTCTTCTTTTTTTATGGCCGATTAGTATTCCATTGTGAAAGTGTACCATAGCTGTTTTATCTGCTCATCTGCTTATGGGCACACACTTGGGTTGCTTCCAAATCTTAGCTATTATAAATAATGCTGCAATGATTGTAAGGGGTGCATACATTCTTTCAAATTAGTGCTTTGGGTTTCTTCAGATAAAGTCCCAGAAGTGGAATCACTGGGACCTGAATACCCTGGCCAGGGAGCTGAGAAGCAATTGGAAATGGGAAAAATCTGACAATATTTTAGATATAATCTAAATGTATTTAAATTATGTCCTTGTTTTCTCCATCTCCCACAATTAAAGTTTAGATAGGCAACATTTACATCATAAAAGCCTGAAATTATAGCATGACATTCATTTATGCAATAATTTAGCCCCCATCTAGTTTCTTAACCCCCATTTCCCATCACTTAACCCCCCCCAAAAAAAAACTATGCTTCAGCCTCATTAATTCACTTATCATTCCATAAATATGCCTTGTTTAGTTCACAACCTTAATCTATAGATTGCTTTGCTTAAATAATCTCTATTTTTGAATTAATCTGATAAATTTAAGATTGTAGAAGAAATTTCAGAAAAATTTTTTTCCTTTGGATTGTTGACTTTCTCTTGATACTCAGAAACTGAATCTCCATTTGTACTGCAAAAGGCATTTCCTTTTAAAAATGTGCATGATAGATAAATTCCTGAGAAATTAAGGTATTGAAAGCCTGATATCTGGATCACTGATTGCCTTTCTATAAATTTTTTTTCCTCTCCATTGCTAGTTTATTGTTGTTAATCCTCACCAGGAGATATTTTTCCCATTGTGTTTTGTTTTGTTTAAGTAAATCTTTATTGTTCAAAGTATTACATATGTCCTCCTCCCCTCCCCCTCCACTTTGACTCCTTTAGCCCACCCCTGCCCCTTGTCCCCTGCCCAGGGGCCTTTACCCACCCTATTGTATGTGTCTATGGGTTATGCATATATGCATACAAGTTCTTTGGTTGAACTCTTCCCACTCACCTCCACCTTCCCTCTAAGATTCCACAATCAGACTGTAGAATCCATTGCTTTTTCAGAGAGAGTGGAAGTGAGGGAAAGAAGGAGAGGAAGAGAGAGAAAGAGAGAAAGATCCATGTTGAGAGACACATCCACTGGTTGCCTTCCATATGCACTCCTACCAGGGGTCTGGGGAGTGAACCTGCAACCCAGGTAAGTGCCTTTGGCTGGGAATTAAACCCGGGACCCTTTGGTCCATAGGCTGGTGCCCTAGCCATTGAAAAAACCAGCCAGGGCTCTATTGCTAGTTTTTGAGATCCTAAGAAACACTTCATTTGAGAAAGCTTTTCCATATTCTGGTGTTGTATAATTTCTATCATCTTACATTTGACACAATGATATTTTGCTAGGAATAAAATTTGACAGCCTTGTGTTTTACATGCTAGGACTTATCCATAACATTTTTGCCTCACCTCATAGCTTAGACACAAAGTTTTCTTTGGCTTCTTCCATTTCTTCAGATTATTTAAGCATTTTGCTCTTATTTCCATTCTCCTATCAGAGCAAAGGTTGACTTCATCTCAGTCATTTTTACTTTCAGTGCCTATTCCTAATAGATGCTTGAAGTGGAGGTAAATATCCAAGTACACAAGAAGTTTAGAACCAGTGATATTTGAGAACAGGATCTGTCAGCAGCTCCTTCCCTCCTTTCTCTCAATTTTCCCTTTCCTCCTTTTACTCTAAGACTCCTACACATTCTTATTCTTTCTTGTTCTTTCCTAAATATCCCTCTGTATCTGGTCTGGGCTATAAGGACAAGTCACTCTCTGCTTCATATTAATTTTGTACTCTTTCTAAGAGGTTCTTATTATTGTAATGATTCTTAAAGCTGAGGCTGTTTTGTGGGTACTGGGGGAAAAAAGGCAGATGTATTTTTCATCAAAGTTTTCTGCTTCAGTGATGTTGAAGTCAATTGGAGATAAAGTTGGGTTTTTTTTTTTAGACATACAGTAGGAGGAAAGAAAAATAACTTTATTGAAAGGATTTTTACCATCTTTCCAACTTCTTAGTTACCTATTCAAAAATCTTGGTTTCTGAAAAAACCAAATGTCCCAAACTTTTGATTTTCAACTTGTTCTCTCAAAATTTGAGAATTTAAAGGAATGAGACTTCAGCATTTCCACATTCCTGTGCCTTTTAACAACCTCTACAAAGGAATTATCTGTTGAATTGAACAGGCCTGTGCCAAGAAGGCATATATCTTCCATTTTATTCTCTCATAAGGTGTAAACATAAAAATATCCTGTAATAAAAAATACCTTTGTCTAGGGTAAATTACAATATTTACCTTTAATTGTATAGAAATTATTACAGTGCACAATGGTTAGTGCAGAGTGTTGTTGTTTTTTAAGCTACCGCTAATCATAGCTTATGGACTACTTTATACTTAATTCTTATAAAAATCTAATTACTCAAATAGGGTTTATAATAAAACCCAATATCTTCTGATTCACCAAGGGAGATATGAAATACTCACCACATCTTTATTATCTTGTACGTCTTGCCTGGCATGACCAATGGGTCACTATACATGCAACAATAAATTCCAAGGTGATGAATAGGAACAAATACTGTGAAAGTATTTTACCACATCTCTGTTTCCAAAAAGAAAATGTACATTCCTTTTATCTTTATATGTTAACACTTTAAAAATAAAGACATATAAAATTGCAGGAAGGTAAAACATAGGAGAAAAAAAAGTTACCCAATATATTTCCTACCCTCAGCAACTATGGTTATTTATATATATTTTTGTTGATAATAATAGTACTGATAATTATTGAAGAAGATTATAAAGATTATTAACATTATAATAATGTTAACTGATAATTATTGAGGAAGCCACTTAGTCAAACTGGCTAGGGCTCAGCTACAGATTTCTGATAAATTTCTGCCAAATGGACAATGAATATCATTGTCTGTGTTTTCTTATTGTGGATAAGATCAGCAAATTTTCTTTGAATTCAATGAACCTCTGAAGAAGATGGAATTGAGATACTCTTGAGGTTCAGTGTCATAGAACTTACTGCTTTATAGAGAGATGTTCAAACTTAAGTCTGTTGTTAGAAAAGAACCCAAAGAGGAATTCACAGTGAAGGAAAAGGAAGTTTGGGTCTGTGCTCTAGGCTTATGTGTCCTGAGGGTAGTTGGTTTCCTCTCAGGACTGCCCAAATAGACACATATTCTTGCAGGATAGTTGGGTTGGGAATAAGAATACAAAATCGGAAATATTGGAAATCCAGCCCTAAAGGACCAAAGCACTTTTGTGACAAGGCCACCATACACTGAGTGGCCAGATTATTATGCGTTCAGAGATCATAATAATCTGGCCACTCAGTGTATGGTGAGGCCCAGTAGATGAGTTCGTGCATGGGTGGGGTCTTGCCAGCCTGGCCAGGGGAAGGGGACATGGGCGGTTGGCCGGCCTGCCGGCTGGTCAAACTCCTGGTTAAGGGGACAATTTGCATATTAGCCTTTTATTATATAGGACTAGAGGCCCAGTTCACGAAACTTGTGCACGGGGGTGTGTGTCCCTAAGCCCAGCCTACACCCTCTCCAATCTGGGACCCCTTGAGGGATGTGCAACTGCCCATTTAGGCCTGATCTGGGCAGTTGAACATCCTTCTCACAATCCACGACTTCTGGCTCCCAACTGCTTGACTTTCTGCCTGCCTAATTGCCTCTAACTGCTTCTGCCTGCCAGACTTATCACCCCCTAGCCACTCCCCTGCCAGCCTGATTGGTGCCTAACTGCTCCCCGTCAGCCCAATTGCCTCTAATTGCTCTTCCCTGCGGCCAGCCAGGTTGCCCCTAACTGTCCTCCCCTGCAGGCCTGGTCACCCCTAACTGCCCTCCCCTGCTGGCCTAGTCACCCCTAAATGCCCTCCTTTGCCAGCCTGATCACCCCTAACTGCCCTTCCTTGATGTCCTGGTCATCCCAACTGCCATCCCCTGCCAGCCTGGTTCCCCCCAACTGCCCTCCCCTGTAGGCCTGGGTCTACCCCCTCTTCCAACTGCCTTTCCCTGCTTGCCTGATCACCCACAACTGCTCTCCCTTTGTCGGCGATCTTTTGGCAGCCATCTTGTGTCCACATGGGGGTGGAAATCTTGAGTGTTGGAATGATGGTAAATTTGCATATTATTCTTTTATTAGATAGGATATACACTGAGTGGCCAGATTATTATGCGTTCAGAGATCATAATAATCTGGCCACTCAGTATAGACTCTCAGGATTAGTTTTCAATATTGATATCACTTAAAAGAAACTGAAGCAGGAAAGTGGAAGTTATGGGTATGTTGATGGACTTTTGAGATGCTCCAGGGTTATATCAACTAGAGATTTTTTTTTTTTAAATCCTCATCCAAGGATACCTTTCTATTGGCTTTTATTTATTTTAAAAAATATATATTTTATTGATTTTTTTACAGAGAGGAAGGGAGAGAGATAGAGAGCTAGAAACGTCGATGAGAGAGAAACATTGACCAGCTGCCTCTTGCACACCCCCTACCAGGGATGTGCCCACAACCAAGGTACATGCCCTTGACTGGAATCGAACCTGGGACCCTTCAGTCCGCAGACTGATGCTCTACCACTGAGCCAAACTGGTTTCAGCTTTCTATTGGTTTTTAGAGAGAGTGGAAGAGAGAAGGAAAGATGGAGAGAAATATTGATGTGAGAGAAACTCACTGATTGATTGCCTCCTACATGTGCTTTGACCAGGGCCCAAACTGGGGAGAAGCCTGCAACCAAGGTACATGTTCTTGACCAGAATCAAACCTGGGACTATTCAGTTCAAAAGCTGAAGCTCTGTCCACTGAGCCAAACCAGCTAGGGCTCAATTACAGATTTGAAGTCCATACTGAACCTTTGGTTCTCAATGTTCCTGAATAACTTGATTGGTTTAACAGGGAAAGGGCCTCAAGAGGAAGATATGAACATTGGTGGGCTAAAAGATGAATTGGATAAATGAAAGAGTTAAGACTATAATTGTACTCCAATTCAGTAAAAGGTGATATTCCAGTTGTGCAAATATAATTTTAAGTAATACCTGGTATATGTATTTAAGATTTCACTTAAAGTCATCCTTCAGGGTATGTGTCATAAAATACTATCACCCCCTACAGCAAAAAGATGGTTGTTTGATGTGCCATTTAATTGATTTCTGTTTGATTTTAACTTGTGTAGTGAAATAACTTGAAATTTGGACCATGCTCAATTAGGATAAATGTTCTGCAAATGAATAGCCTTGTGATCTTGAGCAAATAGCTTAACATTTCTAAGCTTATTCATTTAATTAAATCAGAGGTATAAATTATTCCCTGAGTAAATTTGCAACCCCACTTGCTGTAAAATCCTATTCAAAGCTACGCAGAAAGAAGAAAATTCAACAAAATGCAAACCAACATATTGATGTAAGGAGAGCTTTCTGATTTAGGCTAGAAATGTGAATACAGGTGACATCCTCAATTCAGAAAAGTTGATTAAAGACCAGTTATTTTTACCTCTGGCAGATGGAATATAAGAAGTGGAATTCATAGAAAAGGCTTTGGAACCTATGGCATCAATTCCTACCCAACTTGCTTAGCATTGACTGTCATCTCCTTGCCCTCCTGGTTCCTTCTCCTCTCCATACTAACAAATATACATAAATAGGTGAAAATATGTCCACAGTCCCACATTCACAAAAACACAGATATATACACATACTGAAGCATAAACACAAGCACAGTTCAACAGACTCACATAGACCTGCTGATAGACAAACAGTCACAAAGCAGGAGGTAGAAAAATATCCACACAGTCATGTGCAAACATACATTCCAAGTTACATCCATGTACAGAGTTCAGCTTTATTTTGTCTGAAGACTATATCTCTGACATTGAATATAAATCCCTGGGTACCACAAGTACATAAGGATACTATTTCCTTCTTTAAAGATCAAATCTTGTTATAATAAAGTTGATCTTTTAAGGCCTGGGAAAACTGGCTTTAGACATATAGGTATCTGGAAACAATAGAACTATGATAAAAATATCTTGGTTACCTGGTGGGCTAGATTTAAATTTAATGATAACTCACTTAAAATATATCTATTAATATTTATATACTCCACTTGGGTACTTGAGGTTTGGGGTGATTCTAGCTTTAGGAATGTAACCTGTGTTTGAACTACATTTGTAGTAGGTGCATGTGCCAAAGAGTAAACTAATGATGAAGTTCATTGGCATATCTTGCATAATATTTAAATACTTTGATTTCTCATTTAACATGCTCAGTGTGGCTTAGCAGTTGAGCATCAATCTAAGAAACAAGAGGTTCAATTAGTTTGATTTCTGGTGGGGGTACATGCCCGGGTTGTGGGCTTGATTCCCTGTAGGGGAGCGCGCATGTTCCTCTCTCATTGGTGTTTCTGTCTTTTTATCCCTCTACCTTCCTCTCTAAAAATCTAAAAATTGAAAAATACTAATAAAATAAAATAAATTTGTGATGAAATTGTTATAGAAAGTTGGTGTTTACCTGGGGCCAATAAAGAGAAGCCTCTGGATTTAAATTGATGATGAATTCTGCTATTAGTAAAAATAGACCAATTATTGCAATGCTGGCACTTAAGATATTCGCTGCAATAGTACAGGTCACCTGGAATAGAATAAAAGAACCATCTGGTCACTAATGTTACCCACATGCATCACTGGCAAATATATCCCAGTAGAAGATTTATATAAATTTTTATCTTTTCAGAATTGTAAGGTCAAATGTCAGAACTTCAGGTTTGTCAGGATCCCAGTAGGTCTGAACAATTTTGGAGAAAATAAAACTTCCGATGCAGGATGCATGTCTTTAGTCCTTTGCTGACAAATAATTATTGAAAGTCTCTTCTGTACATGCAAACCATGCTCTGTGTCATAGATAAGGAGGCAATTGTCTCTGCACTCAAGAGGCTTTCAGACTATTGAGGAGAACAAATAAATGTTTACTAAAAGTAAATACAGTGTTAAAAATGTTAACATTATAGACCATCCATTGTGCCATTTTTGGTCAGAGTACCAGAGTGCTAATATCCCAGAAGTTTGCTAAGGTTTATTTTAGAGTGCAAAGAGGAGGTTGTAGGGAATTTTTTTTGGAGAGACTGGTGCTATCTAGATAGATATTTAGGGTTTTATCTAGAAGGTGATGGGGATTTACATTACTGGAGGTGCCTACTCAGTTTTCAGGCCACACTCTTGTCAGGCTATATACTCCAGACAAATGTGTGTATATAACGTCGCTGCATAATCACACTTCATCCATTTGAGGTCAGAGAAGTAATAAGTCTATGATATTGCTATCGGAAAAATCCTTCCCTTACACTTTCTTGTTGTCATCTGCACTGATGAAATTCTATCTTACATGAATTAGATAATAAATATGAAAAATTCAACTACTGGATTCTGAAACCTACCTCACTGGATACATCATATGTTTATCTAAATTGTTATTCATTGTTGTACAGTAATCTCATCTTATTCTTTTGTAGCAAATATCCCTTAAAGAAAGACAATCGCATTAAAATAAAATGTTTATTAATTCACTCTTATAACCTAAACATCCAACAGTATTGTTTAGTAAGTTGTAGCATATAAATGTAATGCAATCTTTAAAATGATGAATTTTCAATGACATGTACAAATGATTGTGCCATAATAATAAATTTTTATTCCAAAGAAGAGCCATCTTTGTTGAGGAAATGAATCCCTAAAGCCACTTGCATCAGGAGTTCTGTGCAGCATGGAGTTTTATTGGCAAAGGCTTTTCTTAATAGGACAAGCAGAGCACTTATTCTGGTTCCTGATCTAGGTTGGGGTGTGCTGGAGTGCAGTGTATGAGTAAAGGTATGGAGGAACTGGAACACTCATAACCTGTGGGTACAACTGCTTTGCAAAAACAGTTTTATGGGTTCTCAAAAAGTTAAGCATACATATTACTCAGGTATTTGCCAAAGAAAAATAAAAGCATATGTCTAAACTAAAACTTGTAGGAGAATGTTCATGGTAGTTTTATTTGCAAGAGCTCAAAACTGGAAACATTGCAAGTTCCATCAACAAGTGACTAGATAAACAAATCTTGCATGTCCATACAATGGCATATGACTCAGAAATAAGCAGGAATCATTGGTATGCGTGGATTAATCTTGAAATAACCATGCTGAATAAAAAAAAGTCAGATAAAAAAAGAGTGTACACTTCTGTGCACTCTATAAAAAATGCTAGAAAATGTATAATTACATTAATACAAAATTCTAAAAAATTGCAAACTAATTTATAGTGACAAAAAAGAAACAGATAGTGTTGCCTAGATCATTAAGGGCACAAAGGAACTTTGAGAGTGATGGTTATTTCACGATTGATGATCGTTATTTGATTGTGTTAATGATTTATCAAATAGTATACTTGAAATTTTTTAAGCCTGTTGTTTATTGTATATCAATTGTGCCTCAATAAGGCCATTAAAAATTACAAAAACAAAAACCCCACACAACAACAACATGAAAAGCACTATGTAAAAGCTAGATATGGTGGTTAAAAAGTGTGAAGCATGGCATAAACTGCTTCCTGCAGCCCTACCATTTACTACAAAGTTGTTTAGTAATGTTTAAAAGTAGAGGATATATAAATATTATTTTAAGGAATAATATTTGTTACTTTTATTATATTAACTGTAAAGTATTAACAATTAAACTTGATTAAAAGTTTGAGGCTTTTTTCTAAAAAAGAAAAAAAAAACTAAACTAAAAATTTCAGATAAAGGTTTTTGAACATTCAGTCCAATTTTAGTATACATATATGGTACACATTCAACAGTATTGTCAGCTGTCTTCTCCTGTCAAACTCTAGTACTTCTGAAATAAATTCTTTTGATGGTGTCCTATTGATCACGTAGGTTTAGTTTGCTTTTTTCCTTTGTTTTCCTTTGACTTAGGTATTTTAAAATTCCTACCTTCTAACTCACTGATTTTATCTTCTGTTTGGTAGATACAGCCATTGATGCTCTCTATTGCATTTTTCATTTCATCCAGTCAATTTTTTAGCTCCAGCTTTTCCTTTGGGTTCTTTTTTTTTATGATTTGTATATCTTTGTTTAGTTTCTCGTGTTGTTTAGGTATTATTTTCCTGATTTTATTGAGTTGTCTTTCCGTGTTTTCTTTTGGCTCATTGAGTTTCTTCAATAAAACAACTATCTTGAATTCTTTATCAGGTAAGTCACAGAATCCATATGTTTTTAGTTAAATTATTGGAAGTCTATTGTGAGATTTTAATGATGTTACATTTCCTTAATTCTTCAAGTTCCTTGAAGTTTTGCGTTGTTATTTTCACATTTGGAAATGCACTCATTTCCTCCAATCTTTACTAGTTGTTTTCAGATAGGAGACCTTTTTTCATTTGTCTTGTTTATAGCTGGGGCTTTCTCCTACTTTGTATAGATACACTGTTCCATGCTTCTTGCTCCCTCTTGTGGCTGAATTTTTTAGCTTGTATGTCTTCTCTTTTTTTTTTTTTGTATGTGTTAATGCTCACCTGAGGATATTTTTCCATTGTTTTTTAGGGAGAGGAGCAAAGAGGGGAAGACAGAGAGAAACATCTATGTGAGAGAAACATATCGATTGGTTGCCTCCTACATAAGCCCTGATCAGGGTCTGGGCTGGGGAGGAGCCTGCAACAAAGGTACATGCCCTAAAGTAGAATTGATCCCTAGACCCTTTGGTCTACAGGTAGATACTCTAACAATTGAGCAATCAGCTAGGGCTTATAAGTCTTCTCTTGATCTTGTAACTCACCAGGTCAGCTGCTGGAAACCTTTCTTTTTTTTTTCCTCTTTAAAATATTTTATTTATTTATTTATTTATTTATTTGTTTGTTTGTTTGTTTATTTTTATTGATTTGAGGGAAAGGGATTTAGATATAGATAGATAGATAGATAGATAGATAGATAGATAGATAGGCTGATTTGTTATTCCACTTATTTGTGTATTCATTGGTTGATTCTTGCATGTGCCCTGACCAGGTGATGCTATATTTCAAGTTTGTGATTTCTCCCTTGCTATAAACCATGGCCTGTTTTCTGTTGACATTCCCTGTCTACTGAAACTCAATCTCTCACTACTTTTAGGCACTCAAGGAGCAGGCATGAGGGTGCAGTAGGTGTGGGTTTGGCACTTTGGGTGTTGGAGTGGCTGTGGACCAGATATGGGGATCTTTCTGTGAAGTTTGATTAATTTCCAGTGTTTTGAAATCATGAATTTTAGTTGTTCTGCTGATATTTCCCTTGTTTTGTGGAAGGATGAGCCCATGGAGTTGCTTACTCTGCCATTCCAAAAATCAATTTTCTAGCATTAACGTTCAAAATTACTCATTCTTCCACTTTACTACCTCTCAACATAAAACTCAGTACTCTCTAAAAGCGAATCAACATAATATCTATAATATCTCACACCCATTGCCCACAATACAATCAGAAGTTTCTAGACATGTGAAGAAGGAAGAAAGAAGGTAATAACAGACACTGGGTCATTTCAAGATATCCAAATTTACATGTCATAACCAACATTTTAATTTGCATTAAATAATATATCATCTAGAAATATAACTCCATAATTAACTTCATACATCCTGAATGATTTTTATGGCTAATAAAATATAGCAAAGATTTCAAAAAGGAGTAGAAACTCAAATTTCTTATTTTTTAAAAATTTACCCTCCAAGAATTTGATTAAATTTCTAGTGACCTCCTTATTAACACTGTTTCTTTTAGCAAATAAAACTTATCTCTAGAGTTGCTACAAATATTATGACTTACCAAGATGGTTGACTGCCTCTTCTCTTCCATTACTGAAAAGAATCCTGAGAATAAAAACTGGAAATAAGATTTACATTGATTAATACCGTGCATTATATTTATAGGAATGCAAAAAGAATGAGAGAATTCTGGAATGCTATAATATGAAGAATATAATCTTAATGCTTTAGTGGGATCATTGAGAAAATCATCTAAGAAATAATTCAATGGTTCTCTAGTACAGAGATAGGAAAAGGCATGAAATCTCTAATCACTAATATAACAAATGTATTGGAAATGAAACCTAGGGAAACCTTGAGGTGACTTTGTGGGACAAAAGGAGTGTCAAATTATAATTAATTTTTGTTGATTATAATTTATTTAGCCCCTATGTGAATTATAAGAAAATATATCCAGTTAATAAATGTACTACTAGAAAAGGTTACATTTTGGTGATTTAACATGTGAATACTTTTAATATAATGTTAAAATATTTTATTAAAATAAAACATTCAGAAAACATTTCAGCTTCCCTTTGCATATTTAAATATAAGAATCACATAATGTCTTCCATGAGTAGCTTGTTCTGAGACCTCCATCACTTCCTAAAACTTGTAAAAAGATGGCAGTTATGGTGTATTATAAATTTCTTTTTTCACTGATGCAATTTTTGTGCATGCATAGAATTCCGACAGCATTAAGAAAAATAACTATTTTTTAGTAGTAGAAAAAAGAAATGTTCTATACTCAGAAAAATGGGGCCAACACTAAATAGCATTTTGGGAATAGAAGGATCTGAATTTGAATTCTTTGCACTTTGCTTTTTTATGGGACTCTAAGAGAAGTTACTTAAGCTATGTTTTAGTTTTGCTTTTCTTATTGCAAAGAGAGGGTTAATATGTTCTACGTTGTTGTATTACTGCGTTGCTGTTGTAACAATTACATATAAAGCAATTCCTTGAATTATTTACAGTCAACTCCTACCTAAGGCTCAGAACTATGTTTACCATAATTTCCTTTTTTGGATGGTTCCTAGTTACAATTGTCCAAGAGAAAATCTCAAGCAATATTCGGAAGGGAGAAGGGAAGCAGAAACTATAACTCTCAGAAAGTCATAGCAATCAGACAAACCCTGAATTTATGGGGTATAACAGATTTATTATATTCCAATTTTCTCCATTAGTACATTTATATTTGTCAGACTAGGGCTAGGGATATGTGAGAGAACACCTGGGGGTCATTTTAAATAGGAGGATCAAAGGAGACCTCTTGAGAAAGTAACCTGAAAGCTGAGCTCATAGGACAAGAGTGACCTGAGACTTGAAAACTGAAGGAAAGAGTTGCCCAGAAAGAGAAAATACAAGCTCTCACAGAGGAGAAATCTATTTCTTTTAAGGACCAGTGTACCTGGATGTACAAAACTGAGTGGCCATCACTCACATAATATTGCCCTAGGATAATTGCTATCCTTTAGAAGAGTATGCTGTTTATTTTCTTCACAATACTTAAAATTAGAAATTTTCTTGCTTGTTTACTCATTACCTCAACTGAAAAAATGGGTTATGAAAGTAGTAGATGCATTTTTTATCTTGCTTAGACTTAATGGAGATCTTTTTCATTGCTTTATTACATTCCCTAAAGCAGTTCTTACAGAGTGTCTCTCCAATATATTTTTTTACTGAATGAATAAAAATATCTTAACACAATCCATGTTAGAAATGAACAAATTGTGAAAAAACCTTTTAATAGATTCCATGTTTTCTAATTTACTCATTCAGAGTTCATCTTCAACTAGGTCCCAGAAGATAGAGACCATAAAAAAAATAGTATTTCAGGTAATCCCAATAAATACCCCTTCAGGTATATTAGATGTGTATGTGTAAATTATATACTTGTCCACAATTTTATATGGTAAAGTGATGCGAGAATAGTCAACATAATATTGAAGGAGAACAAGATGGTAGGACTCACTATACTATCATCAAAACATATAATAAAGCAGTAGTATATAAGACATTGTAATATTAACACAATTATAGGATAGAGTTTGGAGGTAGATTCAAACCTAGGTGGACACTCAATTTGTAGATGCAAAAAAAAAATCTTCCTTCCAACATATCATATTTTTGAAAATTCATATAGTAAAAAATATGAAATTTGACCCCTAATTCATATCATAAGCAAAAATAAATTCCAGGTACATTGGAAATCTAAATGCACAGCAAAACAACTCAGCTTCTAGGACATAATATAAAAATATTTTCCTGAACTTTGAGCAGGAAAAGATTTATTAAATTGTATATAAAAAGTACTACCAAGGCCTAGCCAGTTTGGCTCAGTGGATAGAGCACCAGCCTGTAGATCAAAAGGCTCCAGGTTCCATTCTGGTCAACGACATGTACCCGTATCTTGGTTGCAGGCTCCTCCCTGACTGGGGGACCTGGTCAGGGCGCATGCAGAAGGCAACCAATGGATGTGTTTCTCTCACATTGATATTTCTCTTTCCTTCTCTCTCCCTTTTTATCTAAAAAGCAATGGGGGTGGGGAGGAGTACTACTATAAAGGAAAAATTTAGTACATTGGACTACACTAAAAAAATAATCAAAAAACAACTCATCCTTAAAGGAGAGAAAAGGAAGGCAAACCACTGAGTAAAAATGTTTAGAGCACATGCTGGCAAAGGCTTTATTCAGAATATATAAAGAATTAGAGAAAATTAGTACAAAAAAGAGAGACAATCCAATTAAAAATGGAAAAAAAAAACAACACTTGTAGAGTACTTAAGAAAAAGATGTCAAAATAAATCAACAAATGAAAAAGTTCTTTACATTAGTCATCAAGATAATGCAAACTAAAGCCACAAATTAAAAGTTCTAACTAGAATGGCTAAAATTAAGACTGATAATACAAAGTACTGCAGAAGATATGGAACAGCAGTAATTCTCATAATCTGCTAATGGGGGTATAAAATGGTAAAACTACTTGGGAAACATTTAGTATTATGTACTAAAGTTGAGTACGTGCATGATCTAAGATCTAGCAATTTCAGCCGAAGCCGGTTTGGCTCAGTGGAAGACCGTCGGTCTGCGGACTGAAAGGTCCCAGGTTCGATTCCGGTCAAAGGCATGTACATTGGTTGTGGGCATATCCCTGGTAGGGGGTGGTTGTGGGCATTTCCCTGGTAGGGGGTATGCAAGAGGCAGCTGGTTGATGTTTCTCTCTACTTGACGTTTCTAGCTCTCTATCTCTCTCCCTTCCTCTCTGTAAAAAATCAATGAAATATATTTAAAAAAAGATCTAGCAATTTCATTTTTGTATATAAATGATATCTATAAGATATATCTGCTCATGTGCATCTAAAGGCATGCACATGAAACTTACTAAAAGCCAAAACTGGAAGTATTGTAGTACTCCAAACTGGAGGAAACCCAAAAGTCCACCCATTAGGTTAAGTAAATGAATTATATTAAATTAATACAATGGATTATTAACTAGCAATAATAATATAAATTAAAATGTAAAAATATAAATAATATCTTTTAACCTATATAATAAGAGGCAATATGCAAATTTACCGTTATTCCATTGTACAAGATGGCCGCCCCCATGTGGTCAAAGATGGCTACCCCAAGATGGATGGCAGGGGAGGGCAGTTGGGGGGGACCAGGGCTGCAGGGGAGGTCAGTTAGGGGTGGCTGGGCCAGCAGGGGAGGGCAGTTGTGGGCAATCAGACAAGCAGGAAAGCAGTTAGGTGTCTATCAGGCTGGCAGGCAGAAGCGGTTAGGGGCAATCAAGCAGGCAGGCAAGTGAGCGGTTGGGAGCCAACAATCCTGGATTGTGAGAGGGATGTTTGACCGACTATTTAGGCCCAATTCCACAGAGATTGTGTCTAAAGGAGCAGTCAAACATCTCTCAAGGGGTCCCAGATTGGATAGAGTGCAGGCTGGGATGAGGAACATCCTCCCTCTCCCAGTGCACAAATTTCATGCACCAAGCCTCTAGTTACTGATAGGAATCTAAGTATAGATAACAACTGGATATAAGAATGAGTTCCTTGAGAACAGGGATCATGCATTTTAATGTTCTATCCCTGGCACACTGCTCAGCTCAGAAATAGTTATTAAATGTAGTGAACAAATTAATGAATAACAATCAGGGAGTAAATATTTTTACTCACAATCAGAGTTGCCCAGAATGGGTATGCTGCCATTGATAACACAGCAATATAGTTTTGAAATACAAAATTGTGTGAGATACGCAAATACGACCAGATAATTCCCAGTAAGAGACAAATCAGACCACTCACTATTTGTATGGCCTGGGAGAAAAAAAAAAAAAAAACACTATTAGTTACTTACTACTATTCCAATCCAATCATTAAAAAGAACACACACCAAGAAAAGGCCAAGGTAGAGAAGTAAGGTGATGACCTAACAGAATCTTGGGATTCTGAACCTTCAACTCAGATGAGGAAGGTTGGTTATTTCAGAGTCATTGCAGAAACAATAACTATCTAGATTTCCAACTAAACTGTATTAGGAGCCTGTTTGTCTACTTGACTCAACAGGTTAGTGACATTAGCCCTGGAACCCTGAAAAAAAATTCTATTCCTCAATACTTATGCAGTTAACAATCCTAACCTGCAGATGTAGCTCTTAGGTTGTATAGGCTAGTGGTACTTCTGACCATACCTGCTCTTCTCTCATCCTCTCAAAACTGGAATTTGGACTTTGATTCCTTTCGTTCTGCCCACCCCTGTGTCCTTCTGTAACTGTAGTTTATATCAGAGCCCCAGGGCTCCTTATAAACAAAGAGTCTAAAAAGACAGTGAACCTTTGTAATACCTTGTTTTCTAGAGCTTTTCCTAGGGACTAATAGCTGGATGGGAATTGTGAATGATTTCTGCCCACTGAAGCCAGGTTAGTTTAGAATAGTTTCTGAGCCAAAAGAGAAGAAAAATTCTGATCTTGCTCTTTAAAGCCCCATAATGTCTCATTGTGAGGTCTTTCAGTTGGTTTTCAGGTATTGATAATCCTTTTTCTCATAGCTCCTCTTAAATAGGGTAACTTCAACTTGAAATTTGCAATGGGCTCATGTTTTTGGCATGTGATTATTAGGAGAGCCAATAAGTAGGTAATTGCTGTATTTCTCTCACTTGGAGAGCACTTTGACCAAGTTTGAGAGCACTTTAACTAGACAACACAAAACTCTGGACTTAGTGTCATTTCTGTCAGGCTGTGGCAAAGGGAGGAGGCAGGGGACATTGGGATAAATAGGACTTTGACCATTTCTGCAAAGGTGTAGATTTCAGCTCCTTGCTGGTCTTGAGATACACTGACTTTCTCTGAAGTCTTAATTTAATGAAGGATGCTGTATTTTTTTAAATAAAACTTTTTTTATTTTTAAATAAGTATAGATGCACAGGAATTTGAAAAAATAGTACAGAGAGGTCCTGTGTACCCTGAATCTGGATTCTCCAATTGGTTACAACTTACACAAGTATAGTACAATATTAGAATGAAAAAATTGACCTCAGAATAATGTGTGCTTAGAGTTCTATGTCGTTTTCTCACATGTGTATATTTGTGAACCATTACCACAAAGATACTCCTTATGCTACATCTTTATAGTCATGCTCCCTTCAACTTCCTTATTCCTGAGCAATCGCTAATGTTTTCTTTACCAACTTTCGCCATTTTTGAGGCTTTTATATAAAATAAATACTTCAGTATGAACCTTTAGAGATTGGCTTTCTTATTTAGGCCTTTTTGAAATTTAATGCTCTTGAGATCCATCCAAGTTGTTGCATGTATCAATACAGTTCACAGTTTTGTCTTTCTGAGTATTTCATGTATGATGCTTGTAGTGCAACCACTCAAGTATTGGGGAATTTTTTTTTATAGTTTTCAGGTAGTTTCAGATACTTTGGGGGTGGAGGGTATCATAAATAAAGCTTCTATGAACACTAATGTGTAAATTGTACAGGTATTATCTTTCAATTCTCCAGGATACATCCTGGAGTATACCTGCTGGGTTTAATGGCCAGTGTAAGTTTAGTATTTAAAGAAACTTTTAAACTATTTCACAGAGTGACTAGACTATTTTTATATTTATACTAGTAATGCAAGAGAGATCCAGTTTCTTTGCATCATCACCAGCATTTAGTAATGTTACTATTTTTACTTTGGTGGTTCTAATAGAAGCGTAGAAATTACCTCATTGTAATCTTAGTTTGTATCTCTCCAGTAGCTAATAATGTTGAATACATTTACATATGTGTATTTTCTATTTGTATATACTCTTTAGTAAAATATTTCATGTCTTTTGCCCATGTTAAATGGGATCATTTTTTATTGTTGAGCTTTGAGAATTTTAAAAAATATATATTATATTATAGATATGAATCATTTGCCAGATATGTGGTTTGAAAGTATTTCTTCCCACTCTGTTGCTTGCCATTTCATCTTCTTAACAGGGTCTTTCACAGAATTTTTTTTTTTAATTTTACTGAAGTCTAATTTATTGGCCCTCACCTGCTTACATGGATCTTGCTTTTGGTGTCATGTCTAATAACTCTTTGATGACCCTAGGAACCAAATATTTTCTCCTATGCTTATAACTTTATAATTTATATTTAAAGCTATGATCCATTTTTAATTAATTTTCATATAAGGAGGCAGAGTTAGGTTGAAGTTCTTTTGTTTTTGTTTTGCTATGTCTATCCAATTGCTCCAGCAATATTTGTTGAGAAGACTCTCCTTCCTCTAATGAATTACCTTTATTGAAAAAATCAGTCAGCTGTACTTGGGTGGATCTGTTTCTGAACTGTGTGCTCTGTTCTCCTGATCTATGTATCTGTTACTGTGTGAATACCACAATCCTTATTACTGTAGCTATATAAAGTCAGGTAGTATGATTCTTCCTACTTTTTCAAAATTTCTATCGATTCTAGTTCCTTTGCTTTATATATATACTGTATAGCCTGTGGTTGTGGTTCCCTCACACCATGACCACCAATCTGTAGATCTTCACTGACATAGTGCTGGCAAGGGCATGGGGGTACAGCTTTGTTATTGCTAGGTAAGAGTTAAATTTCCCAGCCAGCCTCCATTGACACTAGGGAGAGACACTGGGTCTGGGATAATGTAAAAAAGAAAATGCAATTATGACCATTGCCCACAAAGCCCTATGGTCTGCAACTTCTCCTGAATATAGTTTTCACAATCAGACCATCTCTTTGGGGCCATATCATCATCAGATTAAATAATTTATAGTTGCTAAAAAGGGATTTTCTATCTATTTACAAACTCACAGTATATTTTGTAAGAGTATGACTAGGTTGTAATGGTATGGAATTATTTAAGTTTAGTTGATAGATTAGTAATTTCTGCTTTATTTAACTTTAGCCTTGTATACAATTTATATGTTCAGGCTGTAAGTGGAAAATGCAGATATTGCATAACTATTTCAGCACACTTTTATTAATTCTTTTTCATTTGGCGAGTTCAAAATAGAATGATTAAAATCTCCTTTTTTTATATATTTAGAAATTGTAAAACTACAGTTATTTATTCACTCAAGTAACATTTACTTCTTACCCCCAGTACTCTTGTTTCCTTTTTTATACTCAGTTGATTTCCTTGCATATTTTCACTAGAATACAATAGAAAAATGAGAGGATAAATATGTTTCTTTTCTGTATGAAATATGGGAACATATTAATATTAATTATTTTCCTAGGTAAGATACTTAAAATTGAGAGGGAAATTTAATGCTAGAGTTGTTAATTTTTCACTGCTTTTTAGTACCTCGAGAGATGTTTTTCATCAAATCATCAATATTACTATCTTGAAAAGAATTCAGTAATTCTTTTTCAAGTAGTTTTATTCATCTACCAATTGGACTATATAAATTAGTATCTGGTGTGCACTCCCACCCACCAATCCCACTAGAAATTACCTATTTTCCATCTTCACAGGGTCAGGAAAGTTGGACTTTTGTTTGCTATGGCTTATTATCTTACTCCATGTATTTCCTTCCAAATTAAAGCCTGATGCAGGGGTGCCTGACTGGCAGGATCCAAATCACATGCCCCCCAACAGCTGCAGAAGAAGCTGAAAAATATTCTCAAGGGAAGGTGTCAATAGATAAGACAAATAAAACTCACAGATGCTATCATTAAAATTGTGTATAACCACGGGGGGAGGGGGGAAGAAAAACAGGTGAAGGCATATGCGGGGGGCGGGTAAGGGAGGCTGGGAGAGGTCAAAAGGGGGGAAAATGAGACATATGTATTACTATTTGTAATGCTTCAAACAACAAAAAATAAATTAATAAATAGATAAAATTGTGGATAACCTTTGAGATTCTTGTATAACTCATATCAGTCCTCCTAAGACTCTATATTTTATATCCATGAGAATTTTTCCTTGAGCCTAGCTGACAGACAAAAGAAGCCATCTAACTTAAGTTGGGCCCATAATCTACTCTTCCTCAGGCTATTTGGGCTGTCTCTTGATATGAAGATCTAACACTTAAGGAGCAATGGTATTATTATTATGGTCGATCCTAACAGAGTTGTAGAGAAAGTGATTTTTTATTTATTTATTTTTTTTGAAAGTGAGAAAAATCAGGAGAACACCTGAACAAAAGCAGAGGCAAGAAAGAGCAGAACTTTCCAATTTTCTGATGGTTTTCAATTTTCTAGTTCCAACTTCTTTTGGAAACCTGGCTAACTTCTTGCCCTTACATTATGTAAACATATCTGTTCATGTATTATAGTAATGTATCTTCATTTTGCTAAAATTAGAAAGATACAGTTTTTGTTTCTTGCAACTAAAATATTTTGTTGTGTGTATGGTTTTTTAAATCACCTTGTCTTCTAACTTTTCTCACATGACTTGGAGAATCTACTCTCCAAAACTGCAGTGTCTGATGGGTCTTCTTTTTTTCTTCAACCTCTTATCCAGTACCATTCCTGAAGTCTGCAACCATGTCTTCAAATTCTTCACTTACAAACTTTTCTTCCATTTACATAAGCCACAAACTCTCAGGGTCTGAGTTGCCCCTGAGATAGCTTACTGATGCTTGAAAGTGAGAAAATGTAGAAAGATATAGTGGAAAGTAAAACTTGAGTTCAAATCTATCCTTACCAGTTACTAGGTGAGCTTGCACATATCCTTTATTCTTTCAAGCAAAAAGCCTGTAGGAGGGAGGCAGATAAGAGAAACTGATTCAATATTGAAACAAAGACTAGTGTTGGGAACGTCCCGCCCTCAGGATGGTCCTTACCAACTCCAGGTCTCTACATTTGCGCAGGCACGGGGTTATAGGGCACGATCTAACAGGTGGCGCCCTTACTTCCTAACCGTTTTGCCCCAGGAGTCCTGGCAGCAGTACTTGCCTCTTTGGCCCTTGCTGTTTCCTCGGTGATGGTGTCCCTCATCCCTCCCACGGTTCTAACGGCCACTGTTGTGGCCCAAGAGAAGGGCTTGGAGGGGGTGGGGGGCAGGGCCCCTGTGTGCTCGCGGGCTTCACGAGTGCACCTCTGTGGTGGGGGCCTCAGAGCTCTGCTTAGTCTGTTGGCTCCCAGGGCCAGGTTGTGGCTGGTTTTAGACAGCTTTACTGTTATGTTTGTAGATGTGACTTTCTTTGTATTTACTTAGCTTACGATTGTAACCCTTCTTGAATGTATAATATTGTTTTTTTTTAATCAAGTCAGGAAAATTCCCACGTACAATCTTTTCTAATATTACTTATTTGCTTTTATCACTATCCTTTTTTTAAAGTTCAGATATATGGTACTTGAACTTCTCATCAATATGTCTCTTACTCTCTGTCCACATTCTGCATTGCATTTTCTATCATTTAGTCAATGCTTCAGTCTGATTTTTCCTTCTTTTGATTCTAGATCATGGATTTTTCTCACCACTTATGCTTAATTGCTGTTACATTCATATATTTAGATCTTAATTTCAGCCATTGTTATTTCTCATATTCATTTGATTTTTATTTCTCTACTAAAATCTTAAGATTTTATCATTTTGTTATGGTATCTATCATGGACCTGTGTATTTCTTGGATTTCAATACTTTCTTGTCTTACTTTTATTGAATCCCAGACATTGTGCATAAAGATAGTATTGATAACCTGATACTCGGTATAATGTTATCTTCACCTTGAAATGATTTATTTTGCTTTGGTAGAATCTTAGATTTGGGGAAGCTCACTTTAATACAACCTGTAACTGAGCCGATTTGGGTCTGATCATCAGTCTATGATAGTGATGGCCTAATTTTGCTTACCTTTACTAAGAGTCCTTTTAGGAATCACAACTGAAAGTCTTGGGTATTTAAAGGGGTCTCGCTGCATGGTGAACCTGAACTCTGGTTATTGTCTTAACAACCCTATAAGAATACCAGGAATTTATCTCAGATTTTCAACCTCTCATCTGTGGTTTGTGATTCAGAAAATGTATCTGGGGGGAAATCTATATCAAAGGCTGTATCGTCTCTTATTTTCAACTCTTTTTCTTGGCTTCTTATATCCTAGCTCCCTTAAACTCTATATCTTCAAAATCTTCTAACAGATGGTGTTTTAAATTTTTTGTTTGCTTTTATTGTGTTCTTTGTAGGAAATTTGGGCTTTAATAACCTAATCCTTAGTTTCTGGAAATAGAAACCACCTAATATTTTAATTATCATAAAACCAATCTCTGTATATAGCTCATATTTCTCCATCCCCCAGATATGTATTTTCAACTGCTTAATAAACATCTCTACTTTAACTTCTCATAGTTATCTCAAACTCAATCTATCTAAAACCCTGCTGTGTCTTCTACATTTTGTATCAATGCAGGTGAAACCCAACCCAGAAACTGGTTTGATTTTTTTCCCTTCAGACCTTATCTTTAATCAGTCAAGAAAGCTAAAACTTATCTGTCTTTTTTACTGTTGTCTAAATCATTACAATAGTTATCCATTATTCCCTTCCATAGTCCAGTTGTTATTAAATTTATCATTCCTAATACATTTACCCTTATTTAAAATGTTTTCTCAAGTGTATTATTTACCTACTTAAAAAGGCTTCCATGACTTACCATTGTCTCAAGATATAGTTCAATATTTTAATCATAAATCTTTGATGATTTGACCTCTCTATTATCTAGCTTCTAATTAACTCACCAACTTTCACACTTGATCTACTCCTTTCATTTTCATAATATATATTTATTTTAGCCAATGAAATATACTATGATCTTCATCACATTTCTGTTTTTGCATGAGCTAGTCTTTCTATTTGAAATGTCCTCCCACCTTTCATTCTGCTTGGTAAACAATGATTAATCCCCAGTTCAGAGGCCGTAATCTTCATTAAACTTTATTCCCTCCCTTTTTCCAACAGAAGGATCCTTTTCTCTTCTATGCTTTCTTCATACTTCTGTTAATACATGAATCACACTACTTAATCTGAATTTGTTACTTGTTTATTTCCTCCCCTAAAATGAATTCTTTATGGTGAGTTACCATATTAAGGTTTGATATTCTATAGTTTAATATAGTTTAATATATTCATTGGCGCACAGTAGGCAATCAATGTGTAGAGTTGAAAGACATGAGCTGAGACCTAAAATTCTAAGGAGCATGAAAACTGAATTTGTAATATAAAAATAACAACTGATGAAGCTTCTTGAGAGGCAAGGCAGAAAACAAACAAACAAATCAAACAAACAAAAAACAGCAGCATGTATAAAAGAGAGTTATATGTGCTCAGTGGCATGAATAACATTGTTAAGCAAGGCTTTCTGAAGTTCTATTCCATATTAGAAGAGAGGGTGACTCTGAATTCACAACTTACAGTTGGGAAGTCTTCATTGTGAAAAAGCAGCCTGCTTGCTTTGAAAAGCAATTGAATAGATGATTCAAGCAATGATAAAACAGAAACAAGAGGAATGAAAAGGAAGAAAGACAGCAGAGACCTTCAAGGCAGAAAGAAACTTTAATAAGGAGAGAAGTCAAAGGCAAACAATGAAGGGACTATGAATAGGATGTTGATTCATTGTTCAGATAGAAGCTAGTTCAGGTAGAAGAACTAAGACTGAAATGTACTCTTATAGGGACATAAATTATTTTAAAATTTCCTGAGAATTATACAACATCATGTTCTGAAGTCTTTTTTTTTTTAATATATTTTATTGGTTTTGTACAGAGAGGAAGGGAGAGAGATAGAGAATTAGAAACATCGATGAGAGAGAATCATTGATCAGCTGCCTCTTGCACACCCCCTACTAGGGATATGCCCGCAACCAAGGTACATGCCCTTGACCAGAATCGAAACCAGGACCTTTCAGTCCCCAAGCCTACGCTCTATCCATTGAGCCAAACCGGTTTTGGCAATGTTCTGAAGTCTTTATAGCCTGCACTCTGCTTTACAAAAGTTCCATTAGGGGGAGCTGACAACTCTTCAGAGTACCTAGAGAATAAATTCTTCCTTGTAATTAAATCAGATTTAAACAAGAAAGATCTGTTTTCTTGGGGTATACTCCTATAAGTGTGATTACTGGGTCAAATGGAAGCTCCACTTTCAATTTTTTTGAGGAAACACCATACTGTTTTCCAGAGTGGCTGTACCAGTCTGCATTCCGCATCCTCTCCAGCACTTGTCATTTGTTGATTTGTTGATGATAGCCATTCTGACAGGTTTGCAACAACATGGATGGATCTGGGAGAGCGTTATGCTAAGCAAAATAACCCAGTCAGAGAAAGATAAATATCACATGATCTCACTCATTTGTTTAATATATTCATTTGTGGAATATAATGAACATAAACTGATGCACAAAATAGAATCAGAGTCATAGAAGCATCGAACAGATTGTCCAACCTATGAGGGAAGGCGGGAGTGAGGGGTTAAGAGATCAACCAAAGGACTTATATGTATGCATATGAGTATAACCTATAGACTCAGACCAGGTAGTGTGTGTATTTGAGGGCATGTGCTGGTGGAGGGGGGGAGGCGGCTGGAGAGAGTTCAATGGGGGGGGGAAGGGGGGGGAAGAAGACTATGTAATACTTAAGCAATAAAGAATTAATCAAAATTTTAAAAAAGAAATATCAGTTGGCCTAAGAATGTTGGCAATAAAAGAAGTGATTAAACAAAAATAAATAATAAGAAAAAGCTTTCCACTTGAACCTACAAAAATACATGCAGAGAAATGTATTGAATATTGTGAAGAAGAAAAATCCACTTTTGTATTGTATTTTATTTTGCACAAAATCAGTGGGCTTTGTAGCAACTGTACAGAGATATCATTAGGACCCACATTAGGTCTGGGGATCAGGAAAATTCTCACATTTCCAAGGTTTTTAAAAACCACTCTCAGCTTCCTCTGTAACAATTGCAAGACTTCTTCTATCCTCAACCTGAAAAAAAAAATTGGCCTCTTAAAATCATGTTTCTTAAAGTAATACACGTAATAAATACTTAGTTTTTTAAAAAATACAAGCAATCTTGATGTCTATAAAATAAAATGTTAAAGTTGTCCTCTTTCTGTTTGATCTCTACCACAAATCACTTCTTAATTCCTATTGGACTACTCATAACTTTTAGTCTACTTCCAGACTTTTATAATAAAAAATATTTATGATTTTCCCAAACATGAACAGTTGCCAGCATCTCAAAGGTCACCGTGTCTAAAACTTCCCAATTGGTACCTAATCCTTCTCTCCAAAAATAGCTGTCATTTTGACTTTAAGATAATTATGCCTTTCTTTTCTTTCTAGTTTTACCAGTTAACTTGCATCCATCCCTAAAAATTATAGTTTAGTTTTGCCTGGCTTAAAATTTCATATGAATGGAATCATAAAGTATGCATTCTTTTGAGTCTGCCTTCCTATACTCAACATTATGAGATTTATCCATGCTGTTAAATGTAAGTGTAGTTCATTTTAACTATAATACTATGTAGAATTTCATTAGAATAATATACCTCAATATATTCACCATGCATCCAGTTGCATTTTTTCACCCTTGAGTTATTATGAACAATGCTAATATATATGTATATTTATTTCCTGGAAGAATATCTTGGTAATATGGGCACAGATTTCTGTTGAGTATATATGAAGGACTGAAATTACTAGTAGGGTTGTACATCTTAACTTTTAGTAAATAATACCCAAAAGTTGTTGCCATAATTTACAATCCAACTGGGAGAGTATATATGATTTATTTTATCTAGTCATTACCATCACTTATAATTATATTTTGAAATTTAGTAATTCTCTTAGGTATTTATTTTTTTAAATATATTTTTATTGATTTCAGAGGGAAAGGAAGATAGAAAGATAGATATATCAATGAATTTATTTTTCACATTATCTTTTTATTTATGATGTCTAGTGTCAATAATAAGCATTGCCTATAAGACAATATTGATGCAGGTGCTTATAGACAGATAATTTATCTTGTAAACAGATGGAATAAACTTATAGGATCAATAAACAGTACCATAAATGTATTTTCTCTTCTTTATGATTTCTTTAATAACATTTTCTTTTCTCTAACTTACTTTATTGTAAAGATACAGAATATATATATATATATATATATATATAATATATATAATATACAAAATATGTATCAACTGACTTTATGTTATTGGTAAGGCTTCTGATCAACAGTAGACTATTGTTAGTTAAATTTTTGGGGAGTCAGAAGTTATACACAGATTTTCAACTGCATGGTGGTAATGGGGGTCAGTGCCTCTAACCCCTGTGTTGTTCAATGGTCACCTGTACACCTCTAGAAATAAACTACCTACCGAAATACTAGTCTTATATGCAAAGATGTATGTGCCAATCTGTTCACGACATCATTGTTTTACAATTCTAAAAATTAGAAAATAGCTAAATATGCAGCAATAAAGGAATGTTAAAATAAAGTCTAAGGAAAAGTGTGACACCATTAAAAGGCATTATTTAAATACATTTTATAATGTAAAGATTTTTATGACAGATGAATAAAATGCATGTGACCAAACAATATCAGTATGATCTCATAGTAACAAAGAAAACTGTGTGTGTTTGTGTCTGTATCTTTTTGTGTAGATCTGCATATGTGATTATGATGATTATATTAAGAGGACAATAACATTTTTTTAATCCTTACTTAAGAATATGTTTATTGACGAGAGAGAGAGAGAGAGAGAGAGAGAAATATTGATTTGTTGCCCTCCATCTGTGCCTCACTAGAGATTGAGCCCACAATCTAGGTATATACCCTGATCGGGAATCAAAACCATACCTTTTGATGTATAGGAGTACGATCCAACCAACTGAGCCATGCTGGCCAGTGCAAGAGGATAGTACCTTTTTTTAAAAAAAAAACTTTTTAATTTACAGTTTTATTATTCCTTCCTTTTATAATTTTATAAAATTAAAATAAAATTTAAAAGTAAAGGAAATATTACATATCCCATTTTTATTCATTTCAAACATATTGTATCAGCACACTTCTCCTCAAAGGATGGGCTTATTAAAATCAACATTTCTTGATATGCCGGAGAATAGATAAACACTTACCAAACCAATAGAGCCGAAGATCGAGTATATAAGTGCAATAGCAAACTGCAAAGAGTAGGAGACCAGTAAAACAGCTGAAACAAACCTCCCAAGTTGCTGAAACCAGAATAGGAAGAAACCTTGCATTATTATTTTTAATAAGAACAACTGTGTTCAAGGAAGAAGCTCATAGTATGAGAGGAAAATAGGAAGAATAAATAAGTCTCTCTCACCATTTGACATCCCTAGGCACTTCTACTCCTTTACCTTCTGCTCCACTCTTCCTAACTTTCATTCCCACAATTCCTTGCCTACAGCTTCCAATTTTGGTCCTTATTGCTCCCCATTCTTGTCGCACTTTTTCTAACTCTTTATTTTCATCATTCTCTGCACTATAGAGTCCCTGGAAGCTCACTATCCAAACTCTCCCCAAATCCAATGAAAGATGGCTACTAAGAGATTTTATCAAACAGTCCTCGGATATTAAAACAGCTATTATTAACTGCAAACTTACTTAAATGTATGTGTGTGGTTATAAAAATCACATAGAAATTATTGTCATATATGCAAGGATGAGTAAATTAAGAGTTCAACGAACACTATTTCATTGGGAAGTATAAGGGGACTGTGGTTGCTGGGATAGATAAAGCAGACCCTTTCTATTGCTATCTGACAAATATTGAAAATAATTTCAACTACATATCAGGATGGATGATATTGGCACTGATCCTGAAAAAAATTGTACTTTTTGTACTGGCTATGGGAAGATAAAAATGATATTTAGACCTAGAAAGAATAACACCATAATTCTTTCCTTTAATTCCTTCTCTTCTTTTTTGTTGGGTTTATTTAATAACTTTTATATGAAATAAACTATGAGGTAGTAGAATTATTAATAGATGGCAAGAATGAAGTGAAAAAATATTCCTATTTTATCAAGGTTATATTCAAGTAGAAAAGACAGAAAGAAAATAAAAGGTATCCGCCCTGACTGGTTAGGCTCAGTGGATAAGTGTTGGTCTGTGGAATGAAGGGCCCCACATTTAATTCCAGTCCAGGGCATGTACCTTGGTTGCAGGCACATCCCCTGTTGGGAGGTGTGCAGGAGGCAGCTGATCAGTGTTTCTCTTTCATTGATGTTTCTAACTCTCTATCCCTCTCCCTTCCTGTCAGAAAAAAAAATCAATAAATATATATATATATATATATATATATATATTAAAAAGAAAATATAAGGTAACCTATGATAAAGTTAAATATGTCAATATGAATAAAGACTTGCTCAATAATTATAAGGGACAGGAGGTACACCCTAAGCCATGCATATCTGGGAGTTTCATAAAGAGCCAGGACCTTTGAAATAAGAGAAGGACTGTGAAAAGTGAAGTTGGGAAGCAACAATCTAGGTAGCTTTAATTTACTTGTTTCTTTATAACCTTTCTTGTTCCAGAAAGAATTTAGTAACATAAACTAAAACTGTGACTAAATAATTAAGAAGTGAAGACAACACAGAACCAACAATAAAGCTAAAATATATATCACAAGACCGATGGTTTGACAATGTGAGAAAACAAAACAAAACAAAACTAAACTAAATGTAAGACTGAACATAACATGTTGAGAAAATTATAAAATAAATCTAACTCAGATATAGTGTTCACTCATGTCTGACATTGCCAGCAAGCTAAAGAAAAGACTTAGAGGGGTTGAAATGGCAAGATAAAGAATTCTGATTTAATTTTGCTGGCAGAAACATAATTGTAATATTTGAGCTGGAAAATACTTGTGACCCCTTATCCAGCCAGATTGTAAAAAGTCATTTTGCCCACATTTCTTAATTTACTAGTATATGTTAGTGTTATTCTCAAACTTCTTCCCTGAAAGTGGCAAGATGTTGGCCAGAGAAGTTCCAGCAGGAAAAAAACAAAACACAGTGACTGAGTGCTCCACACATGTTTGAAGCTTCCGAATCACCCCTTTTTCACTTACGTCATTTTGGGTTACAACCAAGAGAGTCCTGATTAGTAAAAAGTTAAGTAAGTAATAGATGATATTTGGTAATTGGGAAGACAGTAGCTAGAAAACGGTGAAGAGTTACAGAAAAGTTTTGAATCTAAGAGATTAAAATAAGGCAGTTTTGTAGTACAGTATTTTTGAGGAGGTAAATATTTTTCATTTTATATCTGTTGAGTTTGAGAGAATGAATCTATTGTAGAAGCATATCCTAGTAGAAAAATCAAACTGGCCATGAGGACAACAGGACTAGAGTTTTGGAGACAAAGTAGTTAGCTAATAGGTTGCGTTAGGATTTTCTTTCTCCTTTTACACATAAACAAACTAAGGAACAAAAAAAGTTAAGAAACTAGTCCAAGGGGTCATCCCCAGTGAGTACTGAGAATGATGTTTGAATAAAGGCAGTCTAGTTCTGGATTAAACTATTTACAATTTTTCTATATGTGGAGTATATCTCAAGGCATGCACTTTGGGGGCTGGCTGAACCTACTGTGAACACTGATGACTTGATGAGTGTATGGATTTAGCCAAAACACTTGCTTATGTTAGAAAGATTGGCACATGGAAAATCTTGTAAATCTTTGGCTACTTTAGGTATATAATGCTATTATATAATGCTGTTAAGAAAAGACAGCAGGTTAGAGATATAGGTCTAACATACAAGTTCATTTTGTCTAACTATTCAGCAACTAAAGCTGAAACATGTTTTTGAGAGATGTAAAACAGATCATTAATACTGAGCTCAGGAGAGATAAATACAATTGCAACGGTTTGTAGCAGTATTTGCAAATGGTAGGTCTTAGAAATTGTGGTCTTAAACTGATTATTCCAAGCTTATGAAAAGGAGTGATAAGCTAAAATAACTTGAAATAGCTCTACATTTAATTCCCCTTTCCCTATCTTTGGTACCAAAATCAGATTTGAAGATTTCTAGATTGCATTTTCAGGGCAAGTAAAGAATTTTCTTACAATTTATAGGGGGAAAAATCTGATGCATGCTTATTTAAATCACTCATTACACACAATCTATTTTAGGGTATTAATGCATTTTCTCTCATGATCTCACTGTTGTCTAGGCTTCTGTTCTCCATGCTAGGATTCCTTCCACTGATGGTCCTATGGAGTGGGGGTGTCTGGGAGGAACAGAAAGTTTATTCCTTACCCACAATGATTCTTCTATTCATTAGAATTATATTTGGATTAAAACTTTCAAAGTATTGCCCTAGCTGGTTTGGCTCAGTGGATAGAGTGCTGGTCTGAGAACTGAAGGGTCCCAGGTTTGATTCCAGTCAATGGTATGTACCTTGGTTGCAGGCACCTTCCCGACCTGGGCTCTGGCTGGAGTTCATGCAGGAGGCAACCAATCAATGTGCTTCTCTCATGGATTGAGACATTTCTGTATTTTCCTCTCTCTAAAAATCAATGGAAAAAATTTCCTCAGGTGGGATTAAAAATAAATAAATTTTTAAAAATACCATTCAAATTGTTATTTGTTGTGCTCTTTTGTTCAATAATAAAGGGGAGCTCCACTCCCATCTGTTATAATTTTAAATGGAAGATTTTTATAAATATTGCAACACTAATAATCTGTGACTCTGCATTTAAAGCCAACACAATTGGAATAAAATCTATTGTGATATCAGTAAAGATACATTTATTTAGTATTTAAGGACTTAGAGCAAAATTCATGTGAAATACAAAAATAGGCTATGCACAAAATGAAATTACTAGGTGTCTACAATTCCAACTATATGCATCAATAGAAGAATTCTTTTGTTGATTATGGGAATGGTTTTAAAGTCCAGGATTATCTTTTCTTCCTAAGGGAATCATCAGTGATCCCATGCCTAATACAGATATACTTACCATTGAGACCTTCAAATTACTTACTTGCTTTATTTTAATTGGGCATGCCAAGATCTCAAATATTCCAGTAGTATTTACCCTCCCCCCCCCAAAAAAAAAAATCATGTTACAATTATTTTTGAGTTGGAACTTTCAATCAAGAGCAAACTTCACCCTAGTTGATGGATAGAATGTGAGCTTGTGGACTGAAGGGTCCCAGGTTCAATTTCGGTCAAGGGCATATGCCTGGGTTGTGGGCTTAATCCCCATTGGAGGGCATGTAGGAGGCAGCCAATCAATGATTGTCTCTCATCATTGATGTTTCTATCTCTCCCTCTTTCTTCCTCTCTGAAATCAATAAAAATATATTTAAAAAGAGCTTACAATTGAATCAGAGAATTTTGTGAGGACTAAGGAAAACCTTATTTTACCTCCTAAGGCTTCAAAATCTCTGAAAAGGATAATTTTGAAATTAAGATGCTTCTATAGAATTGGTGACTTACTGCTTGTCCAAAATTCCTATATGACACAGAATGAAAACTAGACAACTCCACTAATGTTAAAATTACTGCAACAATTACAGCAATTATGCAGGTGATGTTCAAGGTCAAAGCGATTATAATCTGAAAAGAAGATATAGGGAAAATTTATTATAATCAGAACAAACACTTTGGTTAGACAGAGTGCTGAAAAAAATCATCTAGTTAAAACTTTTATCTAGTTTCTAAAGCTTTAGAAGTGTTGGTATGCTTGCCATTAGAGTAAAATATTTTTCTGGCTGACATAAAACCCAGTTAATCTGGAAAAACACTAAAATATGATCCTACCAATAAGCATAAATCTTTCATTTAAGGCTAAACAATATTGTATTTTATAATCTTCTGAGTTAGTTGGAAGAAAGCCTTATAAGATATGATTTGAACAAAAGCAGTTCCACTGCAAAAAGGAAAAGAAAAAAAAAAGGAAAATATGGAAAAGAACTGCTTGTAGAAATAAGCCAAATAGGAATCAATTATTTTTAATGCTGGGTTTTAATTCTCTAGGAAAAATCCATAAATACCTTTGAATATCTGTACAATTATATATAGTTTTTTGTCTATACAATCAGAGATAAGAAGATTTAATTTCTAAGATATTGTTTAGAATTTTCTCCTTCCAATATCTTTCCACCTATACCATAGATGAGTCTTTATTCTAAAGATATCTTCTATTTTGCTATAAGATACAATCCTATTCCCAAACTGGATTAAGAAAATTGAGGTTTTTAGCAGTATTGTCTGTATATAAAGGCATTCGGTCCTATTACATTTTTCTAATAATACAGCATATGCACTTGAAAAAAAAAGGTAGAATACAAATAAAAAACTCTTTATTTAAATTTGGAAACCTATAATCATGTTTTTAATTAATATAACATGTTTGTGTACATTAAAGTATGTGCTTTTGGATTTTCACTTAATTCCATCATTTATTTTACAGGTAGGGTAGATCCTTCATTGTTTAGACACTATATTTTTTTAAAACCTTTGTGACAAGGATACCCTAAATATTTCAACTTACCAGTTGAGGAGTTGGATGCTTTGCTAATTTTATTAAGACAGCTCCTGACATGATAAACTGGATATAAAAACATATATTTATAAATATTCATTAATAATGCTCAGCAACTTAAAATGTATTTTTAACAAGTTCTCTTTAGAGTCAATTATGTTTATAATTCTAAGAGTAACAAAATATAAAAAAGGTTTAGTTGAAGGAGTGAGGCTATATATAAATTAAAAGGCAATAGTAATAGTAGGGTCACTAATAACAGAAATATACAGGGGACAGTGGGTTGTGCCAAAAATGACTTAAGTGGCCCTGAATCAGGAACCAAACTTGTTTTTATCTGTGTATGCTTTCTAAACTCATTCAATTATTATTTCCAATGCTATTCTTCCTCATTAAATGATGCCACTAATTATAATTACTGTATACATACCCAGATATGAAAAAGTGGTCCATGAATCTATCCCAAATTGTGTTTTTTCAAAATATATATCTTAACTAAAACTATGACAGATTAAGGTAACAGCTGCTACTAATATTTTTGTCTTTTTCAAAAAAAGGTTCCTTTCTTTCATACCAAGCCTATTTCCCAGAAGTATACAGTGATACCATATTTTTTTAAGGTGGCCTGAACAATTCCTTTGAAATAGTCCTTTCATCTTATCTGTTTTGTTTTAGTGACTTTGATGAAAATCCAAGTCAAAGGCTAATTTGTGGGAAAATAGTATTCATACTACACACCACATATAGAAAGGCCAAATACTAACTCCTCAAGGAATACTTAAATCTACACACTTAGCACTTCATTCTGTAGCAAAAGCCAAGATTTACAAGGAGGTACACAGTGAAGATAATAGCTAATTCAGATTATAAAGTGAAAGTATACTGTTAATTTTAAACTGGGATGCTCTCTAATTTAAACTACCAAACCATATGTTTTACAAATTACCTTTAAAAATTTATGACCTAAATAAATTTTTCATTGGTTCAAATGGAATATAAATTTTAGATAATTTATTCTAGAAGTTAAATATGCTATTTTTATATGAATGGTTGAACACTGAGGGACATGTATCATTTATTTGGATTTTGTTTGGAAATTTAGTTTTTCTCCTATTGTTTTCCAGTGCAGTGCTTTGACACTTGTGAGCCAATGTATAAAAGCAGAGTATCTCTTAGACCTAGAGGCCACTGCTTCAGTAATAGCCTTCTCAAGTAGTGACCATCCTATCTCCAATAGCCTTTATATCATTGGTTGTAACCATTAGGTAAATTGTCTCCTTGCTCCTTATTGCTACGTCCAACCATTCTCTCCCCTTCAGCTTTGAATCAAACATCAAATTCTATGACCAACTATTCCTCCTGATTAAAGTCATGTGTTGATCCCTTGGCTACTCTTCTCTTTCTAGGTAATTTTAATTCTTGTCTTTAAGTCCCTTTCTAACATATCTTAATCCTTTGTATTTTTAGTATACACATATATAATCCTTTCTAATACCTGGGCTTAAATTTATGTCCTTCAATCCTTTAACTCCATCCTATCTCAGTCACTCACTCCCACATCCATTCTCTTGCCCTTGTTTCTGCTAATAAGCATAACATCTTTGAAATCTCAATTTCAAGTATCCTACTCTCACCATTAACTTCTATCTTTTTAGCTCATGCACTGTAGAATTACAATCCTAACAATCCTTTGATCCCCATATAGATCTATAGTCTGAGCCCCTCAACTCTCCGTTACATTTTCCCCACTATCTCGAATTCCATGGTAAACCTTTACAAACACTCATTTATATGCACTCTCAGCTCTTTGCTCCTTTCTTGTTTAATGACAGTTGCATGCTAACATCATAATCCTGATTAAATTCAGTTCTTCTTAGTGTATGCCTGCACCTGTGCAGCCAATCATGGCCTAAGAAAGACAACCATCTTGATCTATCTCACTATAAGCTTAAGTGAATTACTACTGCATGAAAGTCAATCTACTTTTCTATAATGCAAATGCTCTCTCTCACTTTTCCTAGATTATTATTTCATGCCCTTTCTCCTCAACCAACCAATCCACTCTTCCTTTGGCACTTTGAGCTCATGATTTTGCTTTCTAATTCAATGAGATATTTGAAGTCATTGGAAGAAAACTTCTATAACCTTCCAACATCCCACCTACTTACTTATCAAAATGCTTTTCCTATCTCTGTTTATCTACCTTTTTCTCCCGCTACCTACCTTAACACTATTTACATTAAACATGGGTAATCTTTTGCTGTAGGCTCTGTAATATGCATTGTAGGATCTTTATCAGCATTTGTGGTCACTTCCTACTAGATGCATACCCCCAGCTGTAAAAACCAAAATTGTCTGCAGACATTACCAAATGTCCTGTGAGGGGCAAAATCATTTCTATTAGATAATTGAGAAATACTGCTAAAGATTAACTGTCCTTGCTCTTAGCCATTTGTGTACTAAAATTCATTATCGCTTCCTTACACAAGCACATGATTCTAATGATCTCTCTTCCCATTTATCTCATAGAAATTTTCTTTTCTGGTTCAGTTCCTTCATTAAAAGACATGATACTTCCAACTTGCTAAAACTAACAAATCCTTTCTTGACCCAAATATTCCCTATACTACCTTACATCAACGTCCTTAAAGGTCTTGTCTGTGTTTACTGTCAATAACTCCTCATCTCCTCTTATTTTTTTAAACCAACTCCAGGCAGATTTTTGCCTCACTATTCTATTGAATCTACTTATCAAGTTTACTAATGGCCTCCATATTGTTAATTCTGAAGGTCAGCTAGCCTTTATCTTACTTTACCTTTTCCTATTTCTTTGTTAACTTGGTTTCCAGTATGTCATACTCCAGAAGGCTATGTAGAAACCATAGGAGAGTACAGTTAATGACAAATTTAGAAAATGTGTGAGTATAGATTCATTGTGTGGGGAAGCTACGGTAATGACCCTAAGTAAAATTTAACCATGATAATGGATATTATGGTTAACATTTTTTCTCTTTCACATATCTAATGACAATCAAACCTATGGTTGTCATTGTGTTTTAACTTCTTTATCCATATTTCTCATAACAGTGCTGGTAAATCAATAGTGTTCAAACAATATTAGTTGAAAAAAATATTGTTTTTTCCAGTCTTAGATTTTGTTACATAATTCTCCTGAAAACCTCATTTAGAAACTGCTCCCTATCTTCTATTAGTGGCATGCACATTATTTTCTGAATGATTAAATTGTATAAATGCATTCTACTCACAAAAATTCCCCATAAAGTACATCCTGCTTTTAACGTTATAGATTCATATATCCCAAAGACTCCTCGAATCTGTCCCATATACAAAAACACTTGGAAATACCACATGAAAACATGAAAGATGCCAAGCAAAATCTGGATAGCCTGTGAGAAGAAAATACTATTAGTTCTGAAATCATGTAACTTATAACATAATTCCAATAACTGTTCATTATAAGAAACATTCAACACTTTTATAAAAGATAAAAGTAAAATAGCAATTCTGCACTTACCCATGTATTTCTTGGATTGGTTCACCCAAAAGGAAAGCCCTAACTAGGAAATACTGAGGTTAACCAAATAGGAATCAGACATACTTAGGAACAAATTGTTGTATAATAACTCTGGCCATTCCTCCCATAAGAAAGTTGACAATATTACTCTATTACTGGCTTTTTACTCTGTCTCCAAGTAATGGCAGGAGAGGAGAATACTGAGGGTACTTGAGAGAAAATGTGGTTCCTAACTTACTTGGATGCAGATAGCCACATATTCAATATTTTCTTGTTAATTAATAGTTGAGTAAGTATGAATCTTATGAAAGTTTAATACATCTTTTCCTTCAAGGCATACATGGTATGGATTTTTCACTAGTATGCCAGGGTGAGTTACACAGAGATACAAAGAATATTCAAAGTAGATTTGCTTGTATAATGTATTTCTATTGAATAAGGATGGGTTAGGTTAGGGGAGAACTGCTCCTCAACTTTAATTTGTAAGAATATAATTATAATCTCAGTAAATAACTCCCAGTAAATTTATTTCTGAATTTATATGTAAACTAATATTTCATATTCTGAATCACATTTTTAATTATTCTTTAAATATTTCAGAGGGTATATTATTTTCATTTTATGTAAACTTTAATAGATAGCTATTTAATGTTTAATTTTAATAGTTCCAGCTCTTCATAAAGCAGGTACTCTATGAAACATATAAATGCAATTGGCTGGTACAAAAAAATACATTTTAGAGAAGTATTTTTGGTGTGTTTTTTTTTTTATAGAAAGACTACTTTTGGGGGTAACATTCTCATTTTATTTTGTAGATTTAGAATTTAATATTTTCTCTGCATCAAATATGAAAGAATGGCATTATTTCTAGAAATTCTTTGGATTGTATTGGGATACAATCTTTTACTAGATCACAAAATCATCAAAGGCCTAGACTTCAGCTGTCTCACTGCTGTTATCTGCCTCTAATATGGTGCCCAGAGCAGGCACCCAGAAATCACCTCTTGTATAAGCACATCAGTATCAAGATCATAAATTTCATGTGACTTTCCAACTGTTAAAAGGAGTGACTAGGTTGAAAAGTAATGTCTCCTTTGATATGACTGACAATTATTCTACACAAAACTATGAAATTATGTTATTATTTTTATTATTATCTATAAATTACATAATTTATTATTTTGCAACCACAGCCCCATTTAGCCAAAGCTTATGCCAAACTCTATAAGAAAGCAAGGCTACTATTGTGTGGAAAATGACAAGAAGGGCTTTCTTGTTTTTAAAATGGTCTTGGCCCTGGCCAGGTAGCTCAATGGATTAGACCATTATCCTGATATGCCAAGGTTGCAAGTTCAATGTCTGGTCAGGGCACATATAAGAATCAACCAATGAATGCATATATATGTGGAACAATAAACGGATGTTCCTCTCTCTTCTCCATTCTCTTATTAAAATCAATACATTTTTTTAAAATACTTCTTAACCTAAAAGCCAAAGAATGGGTCACAGGAAGACATAGTCCTCCCACAGAAAACAAAAATGAGTGTGAAGGATCATGGCATGTACATGAATCTGAGAAGATACAGAGCTTTCTTCCTGTGTCTAAAGAATCTATGACTCCAAAACGGTTAAGAACCAGTCAGTTAGGAAACCTAGACAGTGGCTCTACACAGTAGTCAAATTCAAAAGATAAGTTCATGTCCAGTAGAAAATCTTTTTCCCCTTCAGTTGTGAAAGAGCATGATCTTCATAATTTTTTGGTGTTTTTATTAAGGAAGCTAGATAAACCCTATGTTTATAGCTAAAGAGACAGATTAATAATCATCCTACTGCATTGCTATTAATTCAGTAATTAAAAAGGATCAGCAATAGATCTCTCTCACAGTTAAAAAAGTACACACACACTCTTTCTTTTATTATTCCTGTTTTGTATTGTATCTATTACTCTGTATATGTTAATTTAGTCAGTTTATTTATACCTAATAAATACTTGTTAATGAAGGGGCATGAGATCATTCAAAATCTGTAGAACACAGCATCACACAAACAATTTTCACCCTTTTGACTTAACCAAATTTGGCCCTTTCCAGATCCAAAAGTATTCCCTATAAACTGAGGAAGTACATGATCTCAAATTTAGTCAAAGTGAAGTTGTACTTACCCCTAACACAAGTGTATTTGTTGAAGAGAGTTTTGAACACACATATTGAGCCATATTAACAGCATTTCTTCTGGATAATTGTGTCTCTAATCTTTGGTGATATCTTTATTTGCACACTTCTACAAAATAATACAAAATGCACATACATACTTTGCTCAAAAAACAAAAACAAAAAAAACTTCAGTTTGATTCTTTCTTTATTGTTTTGCAACTACCACTGCCCAAACACAGAAGCAATAGCTTTTCTTTCCATGCCTTCATTTTTATCAGCATCCACTTGGATCTACCTGTTCTAAATAAGTCTCCATAACTGGAAAGCCTCTATGTGACTAAAAGATAGTGCTATATTTAAGATATTTTCTGTGAGTAGTAAACAGTGTCTCTGATGATAAAGTAGAAAGAACTAGGAAACAGTGTTAGAACATTTTCAGTAAAGCTTTTAATAACAAAGCTTTTAGCACACTAATCAACTGAGCTACCTGGCCAAGGTCAAGACCATTTTTCCTGACACATACCCCCACCCTCCACCTATGATCCTGCATTTTCCCCTGGTATTTAGATCTTCTTTACATTAAAATAAAAGCCTGGCTAATAATTGCATCCCTTTAAGAGATTTTATCCTCTTGTGGATCAGAAATTATACTGTTCTACATTTTCTAACATGTTGTATTATGTCAATAGCATGAGTGATGCCACTTAGCCAGGTGATAATCTGGTGGATGATCTTAAAACTTGAATCTTTGTCCTTTCAAAGAGGAGGGAATTTGACTAAATGACCTTTCATCCCCTGTACCCTTAAAAACTCATGGCTTGGTTATTGTAATGAGTCTTAAGTTTCTAAAACTGGTTTTCTGATGTTTCTTAATTCTATAAAGAATAGAGACAAAAAGAAAAACTAGGCGAGGACACAACACCAAGTGATAGAGAGCAGAGAAAACAGTATGTTATAGATTTTCCATGGAAAGAGTAATGAGAGAAAGCCATATCTAGATTTCTATTTATTTCACTTTTTAGGTAAAAGGAACATAATAAGCCCTTTCTTTTGTATCTGTAATCTCTACCAGGCCCCCACCAAAACCACCCAAAATGAGGTGTTTGTTAAAATACTAAGAAAAAGAAGGATATGTGTGTGTGTGTGTGTGTGTGTGTGTGTGTGTGTGTGTGTGTGTTTAAAACCCTCAGCTTAACATGATCTCATTCACTTGTGGAATATAATGAACAACATAAACGGATGAGCAAAAATAGATCCAGAGACATAAAAATATCTAACAGGCTGTCAAAAATCAGAGGGAAGGCAGCGGAGGGTGAGGAGTGGTGATAAGAGATTAACCAAAGGACTTGTATGCATGCATATGGGCATGACCAATGGACCTAGACAATAGGGAGTGGGTGCAAGTGCTGGGATGGGGGCGGAGCGAGTGGTGAAAGGTCAGGCGTGGGTGGAAGGAGACATATGTAAAACTTTCAACAATAAAGATTAAAAAAAAAACAACTTCAGCTTCATTGATGAAAGGAGAAAACTAAGAAAAACTACAAGATATTCCTGGAATAAATGATGGTTAGAACAACAACCAAAAATACAAGATATTCCTAGAATAAATGATGGTTAGAGCAGCAACCAAAAACATCACATAGGTTACTGTACAACCCAGTTAAGAATCCCATTTTGTATAAATGAAATTAATCATTTATTGTTTAGTAGATTCTACAGAACAAACCCCCAGTCTTTATTGCAGAGCCTCTTAACCTGCTTTACAAATTCTGGAACAGTCATAAGTGGGCTCATGTCTAGAAATCACTTGTCCATCTTTAGCATCTTTAGTAGTGATGCAACATCACTGTCTTCAAATTCAATATGAAGCTCTTCACGAATTGCTCCCTGCCCACCTTCTCAGGTTCAACCCGGCCACCCCCTCGGTTTCAGCCCTAAACAGCTAGGGTACTGTCCTTCTTTGGAAAGGAAAGCCTCCTCTCCTGGTCCCCCAACCTTCTGAACATGCATGCCTCCTATCACTAATCTAACTTTTGGCTTTTAGCACTGACTCCCAAGTTAGTGTGAGCTCCCAGAAGTCAAGGAATTCATTTCTGTACTTTCAGGGCCAGTCCTTGAACCCAAGCTCTTGGGAGTGAAAGGGGGTGAGGGAGTGTAGCACCGAATTCTGTCTCCATGCCCCGTTATGGTTAACACTTAAGAAATCCCATAAGCAAAACGACATCATTACCCCTCATTTTACTTGTTTAAGGTCCCAAGGACTGAATGTCTCCCTCTCAGGCCCAGGCTATACGGTGTTCTCTGCAAGGTCCTGGCTTAAGAGGCAGATCTCAGCTCGCGGCGCCCTCAGAGCCAGGTTGCCAGACCCTTCCCAGAGGTCATCCCTTAAGTAGCAAGGATCCCAGGACCAGCTGGCCCTCAGGCTCCTCACTCCAACGGCGGCGGGCGGGCGGCGTGGTCCTTGAGCGTCTGCGTGCCCACTCCTGCTGGGCGGGGCGGGCGAGCTTGTGCGCAGACTCACTAGGGCAGGCTGGGCCACGCATTCTGACCTCGGCCAACCACCACTTGGGGGTCTGTAGAAGTGGCTTCTCCAAACATCCGTCTCAGACGTTGGCCCTTCTGGTGCATTTCTTGCACATCTGATGCAAAGCAACCCACATCACCGGCAGCGTTTTCTGCCCTCTAATATTGCCACAAAATGCACTTTAGATTCGAAGGTGGAGTTAATGAAAAGGCGTGTAGCTGAGACAATCACACACACACACACACACACACACACACACACACACACACACAGTAGCCAAATAAGGAAGTTAATGAATGGAATATTTAACAAGACACTAGAATGACTTTTTCATCCACCTGCTGAGGTGAGTTTACCTTTCAGATTATACCTGGCATCGGTTTTCTATTTGATGTAGACAGTGGTTAAAACGACGTTTAGAAAGAGATGAAGTCTGACAATAGCTTGGAAACTCTGTGTGGTATATGAGCTTGACTAGCAGCCGCTAGTGGCAAGTGTGCTCCAGAGAAGTAAGCCATTGTGATATGATGGTAACAGATTTCACCACCAGATGTCCTCCATGGTTAATTTTTGCCTTTCTAAAATGTCATGCATGTTTGGGGTGATGACACTTTTATTCTCTTTCTGGGATAGTCTAAGAAAGATAAATAAACAAATAAATGATAGGAACACCAGACTGTGACACATGAGTGCCAGGCAGAGAATTTGGATAAAGAGGGTGTGGGAGCAGTGTCTAAAGAGCAAGGTGAAACTGGGTGGTCAGAAAGGGCCTGTTTTGTGTTGTTGGCTTTTCTTGTTGTTTTTCCAAATTCTGAAATATTGTTTTTAAAATTCAAAAGTAATATTTCAGAATCTATTTAAAGTGACACTAGTTATTTAAATTATTTTTTTCTAAAGTATTTGGATTTCATAGAAGGAATTTAAAATGGTGGTCCTTAAACTGATGCATATTAGAATCACTGTGAGAAGTTTAAAAAAAAAATTATGCCCAAGCTGAAACCAGGGCAATTGATAAAATCTCTGGACTGGCACTCAAGAGTCAGGAGTGATTAAAAACTCCCCGGATGATTCCAATGTACAGTTATAACTGAAAACCATAGGAATAAAAAATGTCATATATCCTAGCTTCTTTTAATGCTAAAATGCCTGTGTAAAACTCATTTCAGCTTAAATCCTTGCATTCCCCTAGTCAGTGATACCCATTTCCAAATTTGTCTATCTCAGAAATTTCATAATGGTAAAATTTTCAAGAGGGCTTAGGAAAAAGAAAGTGTTTAAAAGAATCTGTTGCCATCCACCTTGGCAAACAAAAGGTCTGCAAATGATACATCCTGGATGCAGCTCAGCTTGCTATTTTGACAAGCACCTAATTCAAGTTTACTTAAACAAAAAACAAAAACATGTATGTGCATTTGTATAACTTTTAATAAAGTTTTCTACCACCTTGTGACATGGATTGTTCCTGTCATAAGCTTAGATTCACTGCAGCTGTTTCCTGCACAATGCAAAAGCATAACTTATACAAGTTTCATTTCCTGTAAAGATAAAAGCACAGAGAGTTGTGAATAGATCTCTGGGCAGCTCTTTTACTGAAGCTGGTGGAAAATGGTGACAGAGTTATTGACACAGTGAGAGCTTTTTGCCACTTTGGGACCAGCCCCTTCTCTGTTGCTTCATCTCATCTGATTCCTAGAGCAATATCACTCTCATCATTGATGCTGGAGCCCATAGATTTGTTTCTCTAGTATTGGCTATAGTGGCTGTTCCTGTCAAAGCTGGGGAAATATTGGTTATAAGATCAGAGTCACACACAGTTGTCAGTGAGTTGTTAGAATGTCAGTGAGTTGGAAGTGATACAACAAACCCCAGCACTTCAGTGAACGAGAGTGGACAGACTTTGCAACATCCTCTTGACGGGTGACAGCAAATTGATGCATCTAAATGATGTGGACAAAGGCAGGGATTTTTGTCTGTGTTGTTCACTCTGTTATACAGAGTGGGGGGAAAGTAAGTATACAGTTGTTTGTATGACAAATAATGCAATAATTAATAAGAATAAACTTTTGTATGCTCACAACTATAAGTCTACTTTTGCCCGACCTGTATACTCATGATTCAGAACAGTACCAAGCCAAGGAAGATGCACACTACACATCTGGATTCCTTACATGAATGTAGCCTTGCAACTATTAGTGCCAGCAGGTTTTAGATTACCCACCATGCTAGATAATTTCATGTTCTGCTTCTCACTCAAACCACTGAGTCATCTTTCTTTCCTTTTATGGCCAAATCAGATTTATGCAAGAATGGACCTTTCTTCCCCTGGCTGCCGGCACTGCTTTCGCTCTGGTGGGAGCAACCTTTCTGCCTTCCCACACTGCCCAGAGGCCCAGAGCGGTTGAGGTGGTGCGGAAAGCCTGCATTGCAAGCATCCCACCCCAATCTCAGCCATTGGGCACTTGTATATGCAAATTAACCAGCTGTCTATGTTTGGGTTAATTTGCATAGTCACTCCTGATTGGCTGGTGGGTGTTTCAA